ATTGGTTTCCATACAACACCCAGTGCTCATCCCAAAAGGTGCCCTCCTCAATACCCACCCCCCATCAACCCTCAGTTTGTTCTCAGTTTTTAAGAGTCTCTTATGCTTTGGCTCTCTCCCACTCTAACCTCTTTTTTTTTTTTTTCCTTCCCCTCTCCCATGGGTTTCTGTTAAGTTTCTCAGGATCCACATAAGAGTGAAACCATAGGGTATCTGTCTTTCTCTGTATGGCTTATTTCACTTAGCATAACACTCTGCAATTCCATCCATGTTGCTGCAAAGGGCCGTATTTCATTCTTTCTCATTGCCACGTAGTACTCCATTGTGGATATAAACCACAATTTCTTTATCCATTCATCAGATGATGGACATTTAGGCTCTTTCCATAATTTGGCTATTGTTGAGAGTGCTGCTATAAACACTGGGGTACAAGTGTCCCTATGCATCAGTACTCCTGTAACCCTTGGGTAAATTACTAGCAGTGCTACTGCTGGGTCGTAGGGTAGGTCTATTTTTAATTTTTTGAGGAACCTCCACACTGTTTTCCAGAGTGCCTGCACCAATTTGCATTCCCACCAACAGTGCAAGAGGGTTCCCGTTTCTCCACATCCGATAGAGGACCTTATCTTAAAAGGAGTTTCAACATTTACCATAGTATGATGTTGCAGGTTTTGTTTTTATTTTTAGTATATATCTTTTTCCAAATTTCCCTTTATTCCTAGTTTCAGGGTTTTTTTTTCATGAAGGGTATAAAATTTTATAAACCTTTTTTACATCTATTGAGCTGACTACATATTTTTATTCCCTTAACCTATTTATGTGTCAAATTACGTGTATGTGTAATTGATGTGTGTAATTTATGTGTCAAATTTATGTGTAATTGATGTTCTTTTTTTAAATTTATTTATTTTGATGGAGAGAGTGCATGCACATGCACAAGAGGGGGAGGGGCAGAGAGAGAGAGAAGGAGAGAGAATCCCAAGCAGGCTCCATGCTGTCAGCACGGAGCCCAATGCAGGGCTTGATCCCATGAACCATGAGATCGTCATGATCTGAGCCAAAATCAAAGAGTTGGACACTCAACCAACTGAGCCACCCAGGTGCCCCTAGATGTTCAATATTAAACCAATCTTTCATTCAAAGAATAAACCCACCTTGATCACAATATATTATTTTATACATTTTATTTATTTTAATAATTTGTCAGTTTTTGTATCTGTCAATAACTAAGATTGCTTTACACTTGTCCTTTCCTATAGTGTTCCCATCAAGTTTCAGTATCAAGGTTATGCTAACTCAGGAATAAGCTGAGGAATGTTATCTCTTTTTGACTTACTCTAGAATATTTTATATAAAATTAGAAATATTTGATCCTTAAATGTTTGATACAACTTACCTGCAAGAATATCTGGACCAGGTGTTTTTTTTTGTGAGTAGATTGTAAGCCACTAATTTTATTTATTTAATTTATTTTTCTAATGTTTGTTTATTTTTGAGAGAAAGGGAGAAAGAAACAGAGCATGAGCAGGGGAGGGGCAGAGAGAGAGGAAATACAGAATCCAAAGGAGGCCCCAGGGTCTGAGCTTTTAGCACAGAGCCTGATGTAGGGCTCGAACTCACAAACTGCGAGATCATGACCTGAGCTAAAGTCGGATGCTTAACTCACTAAGCCACCCGGGCATCCCTTAAGCCACCAGTTTTAAATTACTAATCTTAAATGTTTATAGGACTAATCAGGTTTTCTATTTCTTCTTGAAATAATTTTGATACAACACATTTTTCTAGAAATTCTCCACTTTAAGTTTTCAGAGTTGTTAGCATAAAGTTGTTCATAATGCACTATTATTTATTTATGATATACCTATAATTATATTTTTTAATTCCCTTTTTTTAGCTTTCTTACTTTTTCTTCATGCATCTTGTCAGAGACCTGTCTTTTTATTGCTTTGTTTATGAACTCATGTTTGATGAAAATTCTTTGGGGCTTAGGTTAAGGGCATACTTTTACAAAGAGTACTTGTGTTTGCTTCTAGTGAGCACCTGTGGGTACTGCAACCAGGGACCATTTTTAATAAATTTTTGGTTTGAGGTTTTCAAAAGGCAAGGAATGTGAATTCAGATTGCAAATCCATGTGAGGGCCAAATTGTGGTTATGAATTTTAAGAAGGTTTTTTCCCTCGACCCAGAGATACAGGCATCTCTCCTAGTTGAATTTCTTTGTAAGAAGCGTTGTATTATTTTCTTGGTGAAGTTGTATCCTTTCTTATCCCAGTTATGCTAGATATTCACTGGGACCACCTCCCAGCTTAATGGGCACTTACCTTCGTTTCTGTCCCCTTAGCAGTTATTGATGTTAAAGACTAATGTTGGTCACCAGGGGATTAAAAAGTGACTTCAGGACAGGTCCAGCTTTGGTACGCATTTACTGTCTGGGGTCCTGCTTTTGTTTTTTATTTAGGAGACAGAGTAGGCCTTTAAGGCCACCCTTCCTTTCTTCTTAGCTCACCAATGCTTTTAAAATATTATTATTATTATTATCTTAAAGTATAATTTAAAAAGTTTCTGTATCATTTTTAGGTGTTTTGTACCAGAGGAGTTCTGAGGGGAGTAATCTCGACTTTAATTTTTACATTTTCAAGGCCATAGTCATCTTGATCATGTTGTACAGGGTATAATTTTGAGCGTGCTGTGAAGCACTTTTTTAGGTACTAGAAAAACCCCTAAAATTCTTCCAAAGGGAAGAGGTGAAATATCTTCCTATCTAGGCTAAGATCCTGGTTATAGACGCTGTGTGTCAAACAAATTACACCTGCGGCCAGATAACAGCCTGCAGGCCTGTAGTTTACAACTTCTGATGAAAAAGAGGTTATAAAATTCGTTCTTCATAATTGGGCCTTTTCCATAGGTTGGCCATTTGTTTCACCTTAAGTTTAAGATAGCCCATGCAGAATCCTTTCTGGAATTTACACGAGAACTAGAACTACAACTAAGTTTCATAGACCTCCTGCCTCTCACTGCAAGGAGCCTAGCCTCTCCTTTTAGTCCAGGGCTGATGCCCACTGTGCCCTCTGTGCAGCTCCAAGCTTTGCCCCTTCAGGAAGGTGCTGGAGCTGATGAGGTAGAAGCCACTCCAGCTCTTCCCACGTGATCTCCTTCCCCATCTTAAAGCTGAGAAGCGGCCACCAAGAGAACCCTGCCCCAGCAGAGTGTGTGTGAAGAGCAGTAAGCACAAATGGGGACAGTCAGGGGGACAGTCACAGCAGCTGAAGTCACTGCCCCTGGACCCTAGCCCTAGTGGTCAGTTGGTAGGAAGTGACCTTACTATTGAGTCTGGAACCATGTGAATACCTTCAGGTGAATCCAATTCCCGGTCCAAACTATCTTTGCTCAGTTGTTCTAACACAAAACAGGAGAATCTCAGTTGAAGGTTTCTTATTTGACTAGCTGTGACTTTGAGAGAGAAAACATACTCAGATCTTGTATCAAACACTTTTATTCTTCAAGTGAGAAGTTCACAAAGGATAGCTCTAGGAGAGTGAAATATTTAGAGTAGAAAAATTGTGGGTGCTAGCCAAACCTCAAATACCGTCATGGCAGAGTTATTCCAATAGTACTTTTCCAGCATGGCAGATCATGTGTTAAAATTAACTGCATTCTCTGAATACCTCTCAATGGACGTGCCCGATGACAGAAGCAAACATTCAAGGACTACTGTTCTTAGGATCTTACAGAGTGGATTTATGCACACGCCAAACAAGTATATTACAACACATCCAAACAATCCACATCCATTAAAAAAAAATTTTTTTTTTACTTAAAGAAATTGGTAGAAAGACTTAAAACAACAAGACAAATATAGGCAAGAAATACATTGCTACTTGCATGTGTAAGGTACTGGATTCTTGAATTGAGAATCAATGTCAGTCCTCATTTCCAACATCACATCGAAAAAGTGTGGCAGAAAAATGAGTCACCTTCAATATGAAGGATGCGAGTTGTGTATACTGACGACACTCCCAAAGATACGACAGTATTGCGAAAGGGAGGCCAGTATACAGAGTGGACTTTCTCACAAAGTCAAACACTCAAGAGTTATCAGATGACCCTTCAGATGTTTGGGAACAGCACAATATTCTGGCTTCATCAAGGCACTTGCAAAGAGCTGTCCTTGACACGACAGAATCCCCACAAGGTGTTAACCATTGATGATGGTGTGGGGTTTTGGTCAGGCAGCATTTTGTACTGAGAATCTGAGCGTGATGCCTTGGTCACAAACAAGATCACTCATAACATGAGGACTGCAAAGCCAGATTCGCTTAAACTTTCCCCAAATCATGCTTTCTTACAAATCATGTTTGAAAAGAAAGACTTCATTTAAAATCTTGATTCTCCCGAGTTATAATTCATTCACCTTTCTCCAATACCACCCAACACCCCTAAAGTTTGTTTGGTTTTTCTCCGCAAGAATACAGAAGATGGAATCTCTCCTCCACCTCTACACATTATTTCCTTAGGAGAGAACTGTAAAACCAACTTAAAAATACAAAGTAACCTTACATTTTTCTCACCAACAGCAAAATACCAGACCTCCCGCTCCTCCTCTGATGAGCTGCAGAGCCCTTTGTGTACACTTTTTAGACATTCCTCATACCATTAACACAGCTTCCCATCACCATCAGCTGTCCTTTCTCAACCTTTCCTTGCCCAACATGAAAGCTAGTGAATTGAGAGGGAAGGAGAAAGGGCATTGGAACAGTATTGCTTTTACAAAAATAGGGTTCCGGGCTGTTACTTGATCCTCCAAAGCAAAACTGGGCAGTATCATCGTAGAGACCCCAACACTAAATTCTCAAGTGGCTATCTTTTTGTAGCCAGGTCTCGGAAGCTCAAAACTAAACCTACTGAAGGAAAGTAGCCAAGACTTCCTAATATTGAGCAATATAGACCTAGAATTACATGGGAAATATACCAGGTCAGAGCCAGTCACCAAGTTTACTTAATCATCGGTAAGAGGCCAAGTTCTCCATTCTCCCCCAGCTCTGCCATTCTGGGAAGAGCCCACTGGCCAGCCTCGGACTGCCAAAAATGGATGACTCGGACTCAGTCTTGGGGGGCACCTGGTGGAATGCACAGTCCTGAGGTGCCATCTGTGTCTGCACTCCATCAGGTTTCCATTGCACATGGACAATTCTATAATTCTGACCCTCGTTGTTGTCCCAGAAGACCTGCCCATTAGCATGGTAAGAAATGCAGAACTCAATTTTCTCCTCAGTTGGAATGATGGAGGGTAAGTCAATGGCAAATGAGAAGGTGTCACTATCTGAGCCACCATACACATTTTTCATGTAGACACAGTCCACATCAGTGTAGCTCTTCCAGGTATCAAAAGTGATACGAATCTGAACCTTCTTCTCAAAGCTCATGTTTTTCACTTTCACAGTTCCAGCCACTGTTCGCTCTTGCAAAGAGCAGTTCTCCAGACAGACAAAATTCTTCTGAAAGTGGTTCCGAAAACTTAAGTAATCCGTTGAAGGCTGGGGGAAATCTAAAATCAAGTTCTTCTCCTCATGGAGTTTTAAGCCAGAGGAGATATCATTAAGGTCCAAGAGATCAAACTGAAGATCCCACTCTGGTTCCTCTGGGAGGTCCGAGAAGACGTGGATGGCGGTGAGAGAGAGCCCCTTGGAGTCAGCAAACACAACCCGCTTCTTGGCTTGCTCGTGTGAACGCTTCCACTCATTCTGTGATTTGGCTTCCTGTTTTATATTGAGACACGGTTTCAGAGGCTTTAATTTGTTCACAAAATTTCTTCTCTGGAGGTCATCATAAGGGCCCAGGAAACTCTTCAGGGGTGGCGAATGAGCCAAGCAGAGCCTCATGGCCACATCCACTGGCATGACTGAACTTGTCAAAGGCCGTGGATCTAAAACCTGGATCATTCTGGAATACAAAAAGAAGAGGGGTTATCACCTGGATCTGGATGCTCTTCCCTGGTCTCAAGTATGTGTGTGTGTGTGTGTGTGTGTGTGTATATATATATATATATATATATATACACTGTTTCTGTATTGACTAAACTGTACCAGCACAATAAATACCAGGGATGTGCTATCATATGTAGTAAAAGAAAACAGTATTAGACGATCAGATTTGCATCCCACGTTTGGCTGTGCCCTTGACTGACTACAAGGCCATGGGTTAACTGCTTAAAACACTTGAGGGTCTCAGTATCCCCATCTGAGAAATAAAAGGGCTGGATATGATAATCTCTAATACAGCTCTCAGGACCATTTTCTCTGTTCTGAGCCAGTGGTTCTCAAACCTGTCTAGTCACAATGGCCTAGAGAGTTGGTTTTCTTTCTTTTTCTTTAATGTCAATCCCTGGGACTTATAGCCACTTGAGGCAGAACCCATCCACAGGGAGGGTAGATGTTCTTAAAGCTTCCCAGGTGATTCTAATGACCATACAGGTTCCAGAACCATGGTTCCAGACTCTCTGCTCCCTCTGGCTGCTCTGCTGATTTTGCTGTTAAATTGATTACACTTCTCTGGAAAGGTAATCCCCTTGAAAAGAAAAAAAATTGCCATAAAATTCTCATGGAACAGTTTTGAAAGTGACAAGGCTGGAAAGAATGAAGTCAGAGGATTATCTGTGCACTTTGTCACGTTCTCCCTCATTATTCACAAGTAACAAACTGAAATGCAAGTCAGCAATTCATGCACTTAAAGAAGTGCATATCCCATAATCTATATTTCATATAGAGATATTCATGACAAATCCACATTTAGGTGGAAAAAACTGAAAATTGGACTTTTTAATATATATTATATATATGAACTTATAAAAAACTTAATAGGAAATACACCAAAAAGTTACTTATCTCTGGGCAGTAGGATCATTGGTGATCTATTTTCGCCTTTGTACTTTTTTGGTGTTTTCTAGTGTTTTGCAATGGATATTTATAACTAGCAAGATAGTGAAGCTATTTAAAAATTTAAACATAACTATGCTCAGCAATATTAAATTAAGAAGTGCCCATCAAGTTTTTTCCTGGCCTTTCGCCCTCCGTACATATTGCCAAGCTTATGGATTCCCCGCCCCCCATCCTTACAGGTAGGAGGCTTGTGTGTACTGTACATGACATTTCTCAATCTGGCTTCAATAACTCTTCACAGTGGCTCTAAGCACATAGGCAAATGGTCATTAACACAAAATGGGTAATAAAAGAACATTCACAGAATTTATTAGTCCTGGGATTTTTCTGGAAGGCCTACAAACTTAGAACAAACAAATCTAAGCTAAAGCTATATTTGCGAGTCTAATAATAGTTAACAGCAGGATTTTGGGAGAAGTCTTCTGCTAAGTGAGTTATGTCTGGAGGAGCTATTTAAAGTAGTTTTGTGGAAGGTTTTTTGTCTTGTAGTTTTGTATTTTCACTTTTTGCACTTATAGAAAGACAGTTTTAGGATTTGGCAGTTTCCCTGGAATTTCAAGTCTTGGCCAAGAGTTAAAAACTCATCATTTGCTCAAACTCCACAAGGCTGAGTTTACTATGGCAAACCGTGATAAGAAGGGTGGAGAAGGGCGAATGAAGGCAAAACGTCCTACTGCAGTTCTCCCCCCAGGCTCAGCTACCCAACCAACATCGTCAAGGTGCTGTTCCCACAAGCTGCCCCAGTGCTTTGGGACGTTTGGGATAACAGTCGGAATCCAAAAGGGAATCAGAACCACAGCACACTCACGTTAAGAGATTCTGTTTGGGGGTGCTTACTACCAAAATGAGCGTTGCCTAAGAAGCACCGAGCACATCTCCACACCTGCGAGGCTTCCCTGGGACCACAGTCAACTCAGCCAGCTAGCCATCCTCCGAGGGTCTCCACTTGCAGTGATGCCCGAAGGACGACGCAGCCCAGCCTCCCTGCACCCGTTCGCTCCCCTCTGCTCTGAGGCGGGGAGTCTGCAATGAACCTACCTGGTGCAGCTCATTAGGCAGAGAGGCGGCGGCGGACCGTGAAAGCCGGCTCTCCGCTGCCCGCGCAAGTTCGGACCCCGCTCCCAGGCAGTCCCAGTGCCGGCGGTAGCTCCGGCCGATTGCGGCTGCGGCGCGGGAGTGGCCGCTTATCTGCCCCGGACCACGTGAACCAGTCCCTCGCACCAATCACCGGGCGGCTGGCCCCGCGCCGCGACCAACCAGCACCCGGCTAGGGCGCGAGCCCTCGCCCAGGGAACGTGACCGCAGTGGCGCGTGGGGGAGTGCTCGGGGACTGGCCAGCAGCTGGGCCGAGCCCCGTAATGCGAACCCTGGGCGAGGGGGGCGTAGAGGCCGCACCGGGAAGCACGTAGCGGGTGCAAGCCAGGGAGGAGAGCAGCAAACCTCTCCCGGGCTGGGCGCCAGCTCGGCGGGACTGCAGGCAAGGGGATGCCTTTTTCGTCCTGAGGCGTCTGTGCACAGTTAAACCCAAGCACACAGAGTTGTGGCTCCTTCCAAATGTATATAATACTAGAAATGTTTATATTGTTCACTGCTTGGCGCATCCACTCATTTTCTCCCTCACCTTTAGCCAAAGCAATCAGAGGTTAGCTGCATGTTTTTTTAATTAGGGAAAATCTAAAAATGCACCATGGGAGTGGACTAAGGCTGCTAGGAATTACCAACTTCTCTAAACAAACGTTAATAAAGCACGCTAGACCCTTAGAACGGTGGCGTGGCATTTAATTAAAAGGCATTTTGTATTTAGATCTATTCTTCAGTTTTTCTCCCTGGACGAGAAAACTAAAGCCAGAAATGAAATGGTCTTTTTTATTCATGTGGCGAGTCCGCCACAGAGCCAGTGTGCGATCCAAATCCCTCAACTCAGTTCTGACGTCCTTTGGCAGTGAGGTGGAAACCAAAATGTTAAACTATCACCCTGTAAATTTAATGACTCTCCCGATCCAGTTACTTTGTTTAGTTTGGGGAGTTTTTAGACCATCAGTTACAACCATAAAATTAAATTTCTAAGTCGAGTAGAAATTATTTTTATAAAACCCACATCCTAGCTCTCCTCTATTAACTTTGATATACACCAGTCAATTAAAATGTACAGAATGTACAATGTACAATGTAAAAAAAATCCCTGTGTCTTTCAAATTACTGTCAAACACTGGAATTGTTAAAATAGTTACTAAAGAGAAAGACACCCATGCTGAGTATCACCAGGAAGGTACTTAAAGCTTGGGTTTGAATTTAAGAAGGAAACACCCAACTAGTAGCAGATCTTCTAGCCCCTCAACTGAACCAAAACTGGCTGAAGGTGGCATAGTCCTTGGGTTTGACACTTACAAGCTACGTGAATCTCGGCAAGTTCCAGCCTCACCTTCCTCATGGTTCAAGGAGAGATAATGAAATTGTTCCAAGGGTTACATAAGACTGTGCTGATGAGAAAACTCAGCAGTGTCCAGCGCGTGTGTTCAACCCCTGGTAGTTCTCAGATCAGTACCCTCTCCCTCAGTTTTAGTTTTTATTCCATTGCCACAGGTGGCCAGTGCCTGAGCTCTTATATATTAATCAATAGCTCCTGCTTGTTGGACCTGTACTAGGTGCCAAACACTCGTTTTAAGTGTTCCATGTGTCTTAGCTTTTCATCTCCCAGAACAGCCCTAAATGGTGTGTTATTAATCCCATTCGAGAGATAAGGAAACTGAGGCACTGAGAGGTCAAGAAATCTACCCAGGATCTCATAAATAAGGCTGGGATTAGAACCTGACTGATGCCAGGGCAGCAACCATTGCACCAGAGTGACTTCCTTTAATTCCCCATCAACAGTTAGAATGATGGGAGTGGAAGGTGCCTTAGGTATCACTGGCTTCAGTCTGTTTTTCTTTTCTTTTTCCAAAGTCTTCCTCTCCCCCCTCCCACCCCCATCCCACAGAGGAAGAATCTAAAACTCAGAGAAGCTGAGCTGTTTGCCAGGGACTGGTTAGGTCAGAGCCCAAACAGGAACATGGGCAGAGTTTGTGCCTCTACTCACGATGAATACGTTGAACTAAAAAAGTGGGTATTGCCAATTAAAGTTATGGAGAAATATAAAATAATGACTATTGTGATCCCATTTTAGAGGGAAAATGTGCCTGCATAGAAAATAGAATATGTTCTACCCAAATGTTAACAGTGCTTATTTTTGGATGGTCAGATTATGAGTAATTAAAATTTTCTTGGGGCATCTGGGTGGCTCAGTCGGTTAAGTGTCCAACTTCGGCTCAAGTCATGATCTCGCAGTTCATGGGTTCAAGCCCCACATCGGTCTCTGTGCTGTCAGCTCAGAGCCCGGAGCCTGCTTTGGATTCTGTCTCTCTGTCTCTCTGTCTCTCTTGCTCTCTGCCCCTCCCACACTTGCACTCTGTCTCTCTCAAAAATAAATAAACGTTAAAAAAATAAAATCAATAAAATTTTCTTTGTAATTTTGCTTCTTCATATCTTTAAATTTTTCTACTATGAACAAGGACTTTTTCTATAACCAAGAAATCATTCTTAAAGGACTTTAAAACTTCCACATTCAACTAATCTATATAGCCTACCTACTAGGTCCCAAGAACCGTGTTGGAGGCTTTCACATGCTTATGCCATTTACTCACACGGTCCTTTTGAGTTTATGCTTGTTTCCATTCATGCTGCCTTCTCTCCTGCCCCCTGGTGCTGACTCATGCCATGAAATCCGCCTCTCTGAAGTCCTTAAAATAGAAATCAGGAGAACAGGCTTTCTCCAAAGAGGAGTCAAAACTCAGTAAGCCTCTAAACTGGATTCAGCTCACACCCCACTTTGCAAACATCCCTGTAAGAGAACAATCCGGGTGCAGGTGTGAAGGTGCAATTGTTGTTGCCGACAGTAACAGTAATTAAAGAAACAGTGGTTAAAATGGTTAAAGAAAGTGCAAGACACCACCTCAGACATGGGTGGTATCGCAGGTGAGGTGAAGAAGAAGGGAACAAATAAGACAGGATGCACTTGGCCTCTCTAATCTGTTGGGAAGAAGGATATAAAGTAAAAAGACCAGTAACCAGGTTGGCTAAGTGGAAAATGGGTCACATGAACATCATATGCATTTGTTTTATGTACATTAGGACTTGAGAGAAAGGAGTGGCCTTTAGAGGCCAGGACGTGTATGGTTGACTGCAGGGAGAATAACTTGGCTAGAAGTGCGCATTCTAGCTGGAGGGTACACTGGGGGGCGGGTCAAAGGAAAGAGAACCTTAACTGTTAAAAGAAAAAGAAAATCTCCTGGACTGTCTTGAAGAAAGTCAGAGATGTGAGTGCAAAGCAATTAAATGAGCAAATAATGAAATAACAATCTAAGTGTAAAGGAGAAATCATTCCTTGTGTTGATGCTGACATCTCCAGATTGCTTCAGGTTCTCCATAGTCATTGAAGGATTAGAGCGAAGAAAACATGTCAGAAAGGACCTGTGGGGGGTGGGGGGGACTTAAAGTCACCACTGAAGAGCATCTTGAATATGAATATTACGGAAGATGGGCGAGGGGATGAGTGGTACCGAGGAAGGATAGAAACTAGCCAAAATGTACTAAGTAGGAAATGTCAGCATAAGAAACCTCAAAATGAGAAGGAATATTCTGGGGGAAAAAAGATAATAATGACATACTAGCCCTAGTAGCTAAAAAATGTATTATAAATTTAGTGTTTTTCAAATTTGGTGTTGGTGCATGAATGAAGAATCCAATCAAAATAGGGGTGCTGAGTGGCTCAGTCAGTTGAGCGTCTGACTCTTGGTTTCAGCTGAACTCATGGTTGCTGGGTTTGAGCCCGGCATAGGGCTCTGTGCTGGCAGTGCAGATCGTGCTTGGGATTCTCTTTTTCTCCTTCTCTTTCCTCTCTCTCTCTGCCTTCATGTGTTCTCTTTCTCTCTCTTTCTCTCTCCTTCTCTCTCTTTCTCGCTCTCAAATACATAAATAAATAAGCTTAAAAAAAAGAATCCGATCAAAATAAAGGGCATACAAATCAGAAAGGAAGAAATAAAATTGTACCTATTTGCAGATGACATGATGGTATACGTAGAAAGCCCCAAAGACTTCACCAAAAAAACCCCGTTAGAACTAATAAATGAATTCAGTAAAGTTGCAGGGGACAAAATCAATATGCAAAAATCTGTTGCATTTCTACACAATAACAGTAAGCTAACAATAATAACAAACTACCAGAAAGAGAAATTTAGAAAGTGTTCCCATTTATAATTGTATCAAAAAGAATAAGATACCTAAGAATAACTTTATCCAGAGAGATGAAAGAGCTGTACCGTGAAAACGGTAAGACATTAATGAAAAACACTGAAGAAGACACCAAAAAATGGAAAGATATTCCATGCTCATGGATTGAAGAACTCCTTTCATTAAAATGTTCATACTACCCAAAGCAACCTACAGATTCAATACAACCCCTATCAAAATTCCAATGGCATTTTTCACAGAAACAGGACAATTCTAAAATTAGTGTTGAACCGCAAAAAAAAAACAGCAAATAGGCAAAGCAATCTTGAGAAAGAACAAAGGTGGAGGCATCACACTCCCTGATTTCAAACTACATTACAATATAGTAATTAAAACAGTATGGTACTGGCATAAAAACAGGCACATGGATCAATGGAACAGAATAGAGAGACGAGACATAAACCTACATATATATGGTCAATTAATTTATGACAAAGAAGCCAAGAATACACAATGGGGAAAGGACAGTGTCTACAGTAAATAGTGCTGGGAAAACTGGACGGCTGCATATAAAAGGATGAACTGGACCACCTTCTTATACCATGTACAAAAAATTAACTCAAAATGGATTGAAGACTTGAATATAAGACCTGAAACCATAAAACTTCTAGAAGAAAAGATAGTAAGCCTCTTGACCTCAGTCTTGGAAATAATTTTTGGTTTTGGATTTGACACAAAAGCAAAGGCAACAAAAGCAAAAATAAACCAGTGAGACTACACCAACCTA